ATTTGTGTAGGGTATTATAGCTTCGCTGCAACCAACGCACATTTTTGTTTTTTTTATTGTTTTTTTTACATATAGAGTAACTGTATTGATCGATTAATATGAAAATTATATTAGCGCGATCGAAGCATATATTTTATTAGTAGGTAAAAAATTATTCGAAAAGACTGAAATGCTATGGCGGATCCACGGATGCATTAAAAGCGAGTTTATGCAATGATTTCTGACAACGAATGAAGCATGCATACATTATTAAACACATGAGTCCGATTGGTATCGCTTGAATAAATGTTGAGATGGAATATATGGCAGAGTACGAGCTTCAAGAAAAACACCTTATTTTAAAATCGATTTGTTTTCTTGTTTTGGGTCAAATGAGTTGTCATTGAGGGCGATACAGCTATTAAAATCATATTCGAATTTTTCGATAGGGACAAAGTAATATATAAAATAACGCTTTGAAATAGACCTCAGCCTCGGAGATTATGTCTTCAATGTCACTAAATTATCTGCATTGTCGCTAGTAAACCGTGTAAGATTTTAACCTTCTCTTCTTTAAAATTAATATTTTACTATAAATTTTCTTAAAACAAATTTCTGTGCGTAATTTCATCAAAAAATGTCATAATTCATTCATATGTGCTCTTTTAACAGCTTCTCTTACACTTTTCTCTATGTAAACAAAGCTGTAATGCAGTAAGGCATTGTAGCTGGATCGAAAAATGTCACCAAGTTAATGTGTTGAGTAAAAAATAGCGGCATGTCAATTCTCCGAACGAAAGCTTAATATGTTTAGCTATCAGTTCAAATTAAAAATATTTAATTCAATATTTTAGAATATGCCTTAGTTGATAATAAGCTCTAACTAAGTCTAGATTATGGCAATTTATAGGTCTATTTAAGCGATGCTCCTCTACACACAGACTTATCTTTCTTTTCTTAATTAACATTTTAATTTTCGGATATATATACTCGTATAAGTAAAACCAAAGTGCCTTGTTGCAGTTTACCACAAAAGTATATTTACATTTTCCTTTTTATGGTGTTATAAGGATAAGAACCAGTAACTGTGGACAGGAAGTTTTCAATAACGTAAATACAACTCAATCATAAAATCCACACTTTATGCAGTCAAATGTGTTGCTTTACGATTTTAGTTTTATAGGCCACTTATGTGATTATAACCCAGACTTGACTTGAATTTGCTGACGCACGTTTTTTAGGCATCATTGTAGGCTTGCTCATAAAATCAGGAAATAAAAATACAACAAGTGCGATAAGCAATGGATTTGTGTTGTCTTTTTTTTTTCTTGTGTTTAATTTTTATAACATTTTTGTATATGCTCAGCGAGCGCATAGTTATGGGAGACCACCTTCTTAGCAGATCGTAAAACCCAGTGAAGATTATCCTCTTAAGCGACGTAGCTGACATTTTACGAGTCGCCGTCGAGTACTTGAAATTGTACTTATGTTTGTCAATACTACTGCGATTACATTTGAAGTCAGTGCTGTTAGGTGGCATACAATGCTGTCATTTGCTGCATTTATGAGCATTTCTGGTGTTTGTCTTCTTCTCTCATATTACGTAAATTAACATATATATTTCTTTCTCCCTAAGAATATCTATATGTACGTTTGTATATATGTATGTAGATGTGTAGATATGTATCTGCGCAAATAAAGTGAAATTTCACTGCACTTCTTTGACAGCAGCACCCTTTTGAATATTTATACAGCTTTTTTTCATGGAGCCTTCGCGTTTTGCTTTTTATGTGTTACTTGTGTTATTATGTTTGTTGTAATATTTTCACATTTTTACGACTTGCGCGCATGCAATTTAAGCGTTGCCGCATCAGCAGCTCACTTAAATCGTTTTGTTTTTGCAGTGGGGCGCATGCGAAGACAGCCGTTTGTGTGCACACATACACACATAAATTCCATCTTTCCGCGCCTCCGCCTGAGCCTTGTGCCATTAACAATTCCGCCATATCTTATGGCTGCTCGCGATAATGTCAAATTTATTGCATTATTTTGCCTCACTTGCTACGGTTATGCTGCCACTGCGCCGCTGCCACTGCCACAGTTGGGGTGTGCATAAATCAAAAGCCAAGGCAAATGTGCCGCTCCAACCAGCTCCAACTGTTGAGACTGCATTTTTACGGCACTCACATAAATATTGGCGCGCTATCTCGCTCTCTCTCTCTCTTCATTTTGCTTTTCCTTCTAGCAGCCGCTTTATTGTGCGCCTTTCATCCCACTGCTTCTCCACCAGGGCAATGTGATAATAAATGCTATAAAAATGAAGAAAAATGTGGTTAATTTTATGAGTTTCTTCCTTTCGTGCTACCAATTTTCATATAATTTACGAGTATTCTTTGAGTTTTTACTGTTGTTGCCCTTTTCGCTACACTACGCCGCCTCTACGGCTATTCTTGCTCATGCAGTCTTTGAAATTGCATAAATATTACGACCAGCCGTCAGCTGCCTCCAGCGGTGCTATTGAAGTGTACTAGCCAACCAACCAACCAACCAGCTAGCCAAGCCAACAAAGCCATCAGCGCAGCGCTCACATATACACCTCTCTCATCCGCTTAGTTAGTTCCCACTCGACACATTCGCAATTGTGCATAATTGACCGTGGTTGGTAGCGTAGTGCAATTGTGAACACGTACTTAAAATGTAAACACACCAACAGGTATATGTATAAATATATATTTATTATTTGCTGAAAACTTCCCTGTTTTAGATTGTTTGAATAATTTATTGTTAACCAAATTAATGTGAAACAATTTTTCGAAAATCTACCTTCTTTTGTTACTATATATTTACATAATATACATGTCGTGGGCAATTTCCTACATAATAATTATAATCCAACAAATTAAGTATTATAATGGAATATATACAAGATGTGTATTTAAAATTTGTGTAGTGTGCTCAAGTTTTCAAACAGCAATTTTAATTAATTCTTCGTTCAAATTTTATAAAGGGTGTTTTGCGGTTTTCATGACGAAATAAAACGCACATAATTTAATTTTATGGCCAAGAATTTAGCTTTATTATAAAGATAAGCGTTTGTTATTATGTTTTAAAATGATTTTAGGTAAGTGACCTGGCTCGAATAAATTCCAGTTTTCGACTACTTATTGCAACAATTGGGGCCGTACGATAACATACCGACTATTCTTTCCTAATGCATCAATCGTCTCGGGCTTATCTGTGTAGACAAAAGACTTCACATTCCTAGACAAAATTGTCAAGCGGTGTTAAAACACACGATCTTGGAGGCCCACGACTCGAAATAATGCGCTCACCAAATTTCCTTCAATAAGTTGATTGCTTCGTTAGCTGTATGGCATGTAGCGCCGTTTTGTTGGAACCAAAGTTTATCAACAACAACATCCTCCAATTCAGAGACGAACAAGTCATTAATGATGACTCTATAACATTTCTAATTGACTGTAACAGTATGGCCGCCTTCATTTTTGAATAGATATGTACCAATGATTCCCTCTGCCCATAGAGCATGCCAAAAAGTGACTTTTTGAGGATGTAACGGCAACTCAACAATAGCTTGTGGATTATCATCATTCCAAATGCGACATTTTTGTTTATGAAATTAACCATTTAATCAAAACTGAGCTTTATCGCTTGACAAAATTTTTTTGTGAAAATCGGGATCACATCATTTTGGGTCCATTTACCGTTGCTGGTCGTTCGGTTTCAGCTCTGCCACGAGTTGGATTTTGTAAGCCCGCAAACCAAGATCATTTCGAAAGATTTTTTATAAAATGGATGGGCACAGCTCCGATTGCTGTGGGCGATGGCGGATGGACTCATTCGGGTTCTCTGCTCCACAGCAGTAATATCACCACCGGTGCGCACTGCTTGGCACCCTATCCACTAGAGTAAACGTGGTGCGAAAGCGATCCATGGCTGCTCGTATTGCCGATTCTGCTGCGTCGATTTTGTCGATCGAATATTGGAAGCAGCACGCGACGCGTCGCTCGAATGGACACATTATTTTGCTTATAAACCGATTTTCAAACGTTGATTCGGAGTGAGTATCTAACTCCGAAAAAAGTATTGTCGCATTGAAAACCACACGTCTAAAAAAACACCCATTACCTGTGTGAAATAGCAAGCATTCCTCACTAAGCTAAGGACAGGAGCCTCGCTATATAGAGTACAAAGGCATAGACCAAAAATTAGACAGGAAAGCTGCTTTGAATATTAAATTATCATTATTATTTTCAGCTGAGTATACCCTAAACAATAGCATATAATTTTCTAAACTGCCTTAAACTGAAAGCAGTTATTATTGTTTAATTTTTACCTAACTAGTCGCGTAGGTAATCATTAATTATGTTTATTGACATAAGCATTTAAATACATTTCATAGAAATCGTATTAAAGGTTGATATATCACAGGCATTTAAGAGGCTCTTTTATTTATATTTGTAGAAATAACATACCAAAATTTTAAAATCAAGAATCAAGTTTTGGCGGGCAAAAACGGCTAGTATTTTGGAAAAAATTCCACTAATTTTTTTTAAACGGAGCTATTTTGTCAAATTTTGAGTTTTTTTCAACCATGGGTTACTGTGCGGTCAATATCTTCTAGTTCGGAATCCCATAATCACTGCAGCAGTGGATGATTTTGTGTTTTAGCGCCGTCAGTGATCGCGTGTAACTCGAAAAGTACTTACATTTATTATTATTTTAAAATTTTACGTTTTATGCTTAAAATATGTATATGTACTCTCAAAATTTTAAAACAAAATTTTTTTTTGTGTTTATTCTCAAAAATCGACTATTTTTTGGACTCTCACAGTAGGTGTGCCACTTAAAAACTAAACATTTTTGCAAATAATAATAAATAATAAAATTAAAAATAATAAAAAAAAAATTTTTTTAATTATATCGCTTGGTTGGTGCATTCATTGTAAATTATCAATTAATAATTTGCATTAAATGAAAAAACACAAATACAATAATTCTTTCAATGCCTAAAGCATTTATGGTGTTTATTTTTTTTTTTTTCTTAAAATAACTCTTGTTAAGCCGAATATTTTAAAATTTCAATAAAATAATTTAATTATGAGCTCATTCGCTAGTGGAATAGCGTATAGTAATGGTTAAAATATAATGGTCATTTTGAAATAGGATATTATTATTAAGCTCTAATTTAGCTTTAATTATGGTTTTCAGCATTACGCAGTTACTAATATATGTTTTCTATAAAGAGGTATTATTAGTGTCTTTTTTAAATAATAATACGAAACAATTAAGGTAGTATATTTTTGTTACACTATATTATTTAATTATTCTTCTTCTGTTACATTCCATATGTAAAAATTTCGTGTCACAATTTCTCCGGGTTAAAGTCGTACATTACTGAACTGATTTTAGTAAAATTTAGAACACTGTGTTCAGTTTGAAACAACTTAAAAAAGATAGGATAGCTTACATTTTAATTATGATAAAAGTAAAATAATATATAAAAAAAATGTATTTCTAAACATAAGCTTGTGTTCAAATAAAAAAAAATACTATACAATTTTCAGTGTTATTCATTCATTATTTGTTCCATTGAGTAATATTTGTATAAATTGGTTGCAAAATTAAATCTCAAGTACAAACTTTTGAACTATTATACCGGCAGACACGTTTTCGCCTCAATTCGAAAATATTATTTTCACTAAATATTGTAGTTTATAATAATTGTAACGGGTGTTTTTTTCGAGGCATAGAACTTTAAGTTGGCATTACTGTTCAAGATGGCGACCGATTTAACAGCTGTCAAGTGATTTATTCTCAGTTTGATTTGGCAATTCATCATAAATAGACTCACGCTTGAACAACGCTTGCAAATAGTGCAAGTTTCTTTCGAAAATAATGGTTCTGTGCGGAATACTATCGCGCACTAGGTTCATTTTATCGTCGAGCGCACTTCTGGTCGAATAATCCATCGTTGTTTTATTGCAATTTAAGTCCTTCTATACCTATAAAAATAAACACCCTTTATTTAATGCAACGCGTGGCCGGATCCGCAGACGTATCCCATATATTTTATTATATAATGGAAAAATTATTTTAAAACCGTAAGTTTTTACTTATAAAAAAAATATGGGTAAAACTTAATTTTAAATTTTTCTAAACATCAGTTATTTTCAACATACCACTAACGTATTTATTAATTTATTTAAATCGCATTGGTATTAGATACAATGAAAAGCCAAAACTCCGACGGCAAAACATAACCAGCCGATTTGATGCCACAACAACGCAAATGGAGACACAAAAATGTTTTGACTATGCCTTATTCCCAAAAGTTATCAGCATAAGTCATACTAATTAAGGAACTAAGTTATTTTATTTATTTATTTATAATAAATATAATATATATAAATATATATGTAAGCCCATGCAGTTGAAGCTTGCGTCAAACTTTGAGCTAGTAAGTTTTTATGCAGCTTAAAAATAACTTAAATATTATGTTTATAAGCGTTATATGTTTACAGATATGTAAATAAGTAAACACACTTTATGTGTGTATAGAGTAACGTGTACGTGACATGCTAACTAACATTTTAATGGCACTAAAGAGCTAAAAATGTGAGCGATTTACAAGTGAATGCAACAATTTCCCAGCTTGAGTAGTGTCTACAACAATTTAAGCACAAGCGGCGCGCCGCAACAACGTGTGGCATCACTGCACCAGCGTGCAACACAACTTGTTATGCCGATAACGCGCTACATAAAAATAAAACTGGAAATTATAGTGCTTATTTTTGCGCCTCATCGCGACTTGCATCAACGCTGCTACTGTTGTGTTGTTGCGGTATTTGTTTTTGCCGCCGTTGTTGTACTGAAAGGCGTGATAAACGTGACAGTTTAATTGCAACCTTTTGGTCACTTAACCGAACGCAATGATTGCCGCTGACAGGAGCGCCGAAGAGTGAATGAAAACAAGTGGACGGGCGAACGGTGTGAGAGCTGATTGCCTATAAATATGTAGTAAATGAGCGCGTTCACTTGGACAGCGCAGCAATTTACTTGCGAGAGCATTAAATTAACATGTAATTTATTGTTGACTAATGCAAAATGTCAAAGAGTATGGCGCTCAGCGCACACTACGGCTCTACAATGCGCTCAATAAAGCATACTCAGTACATATTTTCTCCAAAAGGTAACCCCATTTTGAAGTGTTGCCATTGTCGCATACGTCGAAGCAGCCCATTGATTGGTTATGCATCGCTCAACTCGGAGCGAGCGCTGAGCGTTAAAATTTCTATAAGCATTTTGCTGCTCCAACGTAACTACCGAGAAAAACCTGTTACGCTAGGTGTTATATACGCGCTCTTTGTCGTATAGCAAATTATACACCAAATGTGCCTTGGTAATGCACTTTTTCTTAACATGTCTGCCGACAGCAGCCATCTATTCATCCATCCATTAACAAACCGCTTGACAGCCACAATTAGCACTCTGCATATGTATAAATGAGAGAGTTAGGCTGTCACTGGCGCTGCCGTCGCGCGTTACCAAAGATCAAAGTATATATATATTTTTATGGCGCATGCGATTTGATTGGACAAAAAGTACGCCATATTTGAAAATTACTCTATTTCGCTCTTGCTTGCACGCACCTATGCTTATTCGTTCACTCTTACAACTTCAAAAGGATGCACGCTCATTTCAGGTTTTGAGAGCAACGGTAAAAGTTGCCAAATTGCATTGGAGTAAGCGCTCTCTTGCAGAGTGTAATAGTGTTGAACGGCAGTGAAGCGCTCTTGCAGGGAGCTATGCCGCGGCACGACTAGCAAGTACCTAAGCAAATTGTGTGTCACAGAAAAATCAGTTCGTGTTTGGCTTCCTTTGCGTTAAGACGTGTTTGAAAAGAAACTCGGAACGTAGCAAAGTAAATACTTGGCTATAACTATATACTCAAAAGCTAATTTGATAGTCATAATAAACGGTTGTGCTCAAAAACAACAAAGTTAAAAAAATTTCAAATTTGTCGAAATAATTTGTGTTCAGTCATTTTGTGTGACGCTCTAAAATACAAATTTTAAAATAAAAGTGAATTATTAAACTAAGCAGCTCGAAAGCATTTTGTGAATGAAATTTAAACTTTTGCTGCAAAGAATATACAAAACAAAAAATTGTGCTAAGTAAAAAACAATAAATTGTGCTCACCCAACTTAAACACTGGATTAATTTAAAAAAAAAATCGTTAAAGTAGCTTAAAAGCTTGAAAATTCAATTAAATAAATAGTTGGATTAACTAACGCATCAACACCTCTACCAGCTGCTATAAGTCCAGCTACACGATTACACCTATTGGATTAACTATATTTGTGGATTAGCTGTATTATTCAACTTCGTTACCCACGCTTTCTACACAACCTTTGGATTTGCGTAAAATGGTTGTTTTAGAAGGTGGCGGCGGTGTTGTTACAATTGGCAACAACCAATATCTGCAGCCGGACTATTTATCACCAATACCAACCACGGTGAGTTTCAGTCAGAAAAAATAAGAAGATAAGGAAATTTTATGAGCTCTGCAATTTATGAAGAAATGGAATTAATAGTAGCTTGATAGAAGAGCTGTTATTGAAGAAGTTTAGGAAAGTTGACAAATATTTTATGAGATTTTAAAACGAGTTCGTTATGCTTTTCAGAACAACTAAATTGTAGAGAATAATATTTAAAAAATTTGCAAATATTTTCTTAGCAACAGAATTTCAAATAAAGCTGAAAAGGATATTCGTAAAGTCACATAAAAAATGTATCTGAGAAAAAAATCATTATCATGAAAAAACTTATGTTAGATAATAATAATTTTTTGAACAAACGTAGGTGATACTTATTTTATGAAGGAGTACGCTTTGCTGAAAAAACAGTCAACTCGAGTCGATTTCGATACATCAAAGTATGAGAAATACATGAAAAAAAAAAATGATAAGGGTTTAACTGGAATATACCAAAGTTTCAAACACACGACGGAAATGTAAACATGAGAAAATATAAAAAATTTCGCCTGAATGCTGTTTTAAATGTTATGTAATAAAAAAAAATTATATTATATCAAATAGAAAGAAAATAAATCGTTAGAGACTCAAACTCGAGCTAAACTAAAAATAAAATAAAAACAATTATTGGACACAGTTAAAAAAATGTGTTGGTTACATACACAAAATTGATTTAAAAAACTGAAATTACTTTATATTAAAATTTGATATGAAATTGCTAAAATAGAAACTATACAATAAAAGAATATATTTTTCGCAATGAGAGTGAAGCAATTCAGGCGCCTCATTTGCATTATATATCTAAACATTTTTCAATATACCTATAGGCTGCTTATATTCAACCAAAATAATTACTACACTTTAAAAACCTAAATTCGCTAGTTGAACACACTAGTATCTTCAATTTATAATCGAAAATAAGTAAACGCCATTATAATGAAATATTTCTAGAAGCGCCACAGATCCATATCTAAGTTCCAGTAAGCCAAAAGTTAATTATTTCATATTTCTCTTTTATATCGCATTTATTTTTTCTTATTTATTTATAAAAACATGTTTAAGGCGCTCGTAAAAGCTAATTTAAAGTATCATAAAAAAATACAATCAAAATTTGAAAAAACACTGAACACATTAAACGAAATTTATTTTTATGATCATATCACCGATTTTATTGTTATCATAATCTCTGTGTCACAATATGGACTCATAAATGTTGCTCATTATAGTCACAAAAATTTCTTTATTTTGCTGTCATTGGCGGTGAAAGCTGTTTTATAGCATAAAATTCTTTCGTAATGTATCTATCAAAATTGAATTATGGCTGTTTTTAGGTAAGAATGAAAAAAAATTAAAATGAAAATATCAAAATCAAGTAAGCAAAGCATTATACAATATATAAATATAGAGTTGAGAGCGATGTTTGAATATATATATGTATATAAGAAGCTTTTCATATGGGCATAGGCTTTAAAAAGAACCTCCAGCTATTTTTCAATACTAAATAAATTCAAAAGTTATATAAACGCTTTACTTATAAACAAATTTTCCACTTTTCTCCTTCCAGATGGACGCCAAGAAAAGTCCACTCGCACTGTTGGCACAAACTTGCTCACAAATTGGCGCTGATTCGTCGGCAGTCAAGCCATTACTCGCTATGGATAAATCAAAGAAGTCTACATCTTCATCTTCGTCATCCACCTCATCGAATGCCAGTACGGACATGAGCGCCAAGTCTCCAACACAGGCTAAATCACCGAAATCCACCACACCAAATACCACCGAGGTGAAATTGGCTTTTAAGCCTTACGAAACAAATGTGCTGAGCGCTCAAAACCACAATACATTCAAGTCATCGTCCTCAACGACTGTGGACGAGCAACGACCCAGCTCAAAATGCTCCTCCAGCGGTGGTGCTGATAATAATACACGCGTGCCCTCACGCAACAAATCCAATTGTACACCAGAGTCACATGCTATCAAAATGGAGAATTTGCATGGTGTTACACCAACACCAAGTGATAATAATCGCAAAACTGTGTCTCCCGCCGGTTCGTCACAACGTGGTGCCAGCCCCATTGTACGCTCCGGTATGGAGGTACTGAATAATAGCAATGGTCAAGCCACACATCCGAAGGAGATGAGCAGTATGGCTGCGGCAGCCGCTGCTGCTGCCGCTGCTTATAAAGCGGCCGGTCCATATGGCATTAATCCATTATCGGCGCTCTGCTGTCCACCCGGTATGGAGCAACACGCCAATCCCGCTTTCCGTCCACCATTTGCCGGCGGTTTCTCACATCATCACGCAGCAATGTTGGCTGCTGCTGCTGCAAGCGGCGGTTACCCAGGCGGTCCTAATGGTCCGGGCTCACAACCCAATCCCTACATCAGCTATCAACGCATCAAGACACCTTCCGGCGGTGAGGCTATTGTACCGGTTTGCAAGGACCCCTACTGTCCCGGCTGCCCCTACTCGGCACATACGCAACAAATGCTTATGGGTGCCCCCTGCCCAGCTGGTTGCACACAATGTGAACATCAAAAATATGGCATGGCAATGATGGGTGGCGCCGCTGGTCTACCACCGAACCATCCTTACTCACAAGCCGCTGCAGCTGCTGCCGCTAGTGCTGCTGCAGCGCGCTCAGCGCCATATGTCTGCAGTTGGGTGATAGGCGACGCTTATTGCGGTAAACGCTTCCAGACCTCCGACGAACTATTCTCACATCTGCGCACTCACACCGGTAATCTCTCGGATCCAGCTGCTGCCGCCGCCGCCTTGGCTCAGTCACAGGCACAATCATTGTTGGGCACACTTTTTCCACCATCAGCACTCCGCGGTGGCTATCCAACCCCACCGTTGAGTCCGATGAGCGCTGCTGCTGCGGCACGCTATCATCCTTATGCTAAACCTGGTGGCATACCAGCTAGCGCGTTGACTGCACCATCCGCCTTCGGCATGACTGGCTTTAATCCCGCAGCGGCTGCTGCAGCAGCAGCTTTGGGACCCTACTACTCGCCCTATGCGATGTATGGTCAACGTATTGGCTCGGCCGCGGTGCATCAGTAAGCGTATGCGGAAGCGCGATAAATGCTGACAACAAGGCTAGTCAAGGAGAATGAAAGGCTAACCGTGTGATTTTTGAGTAAGGCGCATGCGCGCACATCTCGACTGCAAGGCCAACAGTGAGTGAGGCATAGGCATGATGGGCCGCGCACTCGGTTACAATATGCATACCAAAAACATAAAAGCGGAATAAAATAAAAGCAAAGATCTGAAGGTGAAGTTTGAAATTGCAGAAAAAATGGCAAAAAACACAAAAAACAAAAACGTTAAAAAATGATTAATACAAAATTGCGTTTCAAAAAAAGTATAAAACTGTATGAAAAAATTTCAATTTGAGAATGCGCTATTGTTGCGATCGTTTTACACTGTGATACTAAAATGTAGTTGGATGCTAGGCTTATTAGGTTTTAAATGATGAACATATGACTTACACACATGCATACATGCAGAAATACATATATGTATACGCATCTGTATTTGTGAGCAAAAGCGTAAAAAGTAATTAAAGTTTTTAGTTGTAAAATGCAGCCAAAGCATTTTTTTCAAATAACCATGAAACCTTAACAAAAACAATCACCTTAACTAGTTTTTTGTTACTATTAATTTAATATATGTATATGTATGTAATATATCTGTACGTTTTGCCTTTAATTATATAATTTTAAGCGTGAAAATTGTGAATTAGTTTTTTGTTTAGTATCGAAAGCGCATATAAAGGCCTTTCGCTTACAGTTTATTTGTTTTAATGGCTTTTGAAAATTTAATTTAGCTATGTAATAAATGTAATATACATACATACATGAAAACATGAAAAACTTGAAATAACCACTTACAACCCATGTTTAACTGCATATGAAGCGCTTGTATGTGTTTATATAATACAAACAGATTTCCATAAAACGAAACATAAAAGAGTCAAAAACTTCAATTACAAACTTGATGGAATAATTAGTTTTCATTTTGCAATTAAATGAAAATAATAAATATAAATATTAAAAAAAAATAAACGTTGGTCTTTTAATTATATTCAATGGAAATGAGGAAACGACAGTTGATTACTTTCGCCTAAATAACATTATCATCTTAGAGAACAAAAATAAATTTTGCCGTGAGTGATAATTACGGTAAATAGAAATACGATCATACATAAAAAAGTAGTAAATAATCAATAAAAATTATATATTATAGATCAATTTGAAACATTGAAAAAAACGCACTTCGCATATTTGCCTTAAAAGCTCTAAGCCGTTCTGAAATTAACGACATCTTTAGACTAACGTCGACTTTAGACCAAAAAACTCTATTCAAAGGCTCATTAAGGCTCTCTGAACTATAAAAACTGGGTGCCTGGAGGCCAAATAAATCCCAAAATAGGAGATACACAAAATGAACTTACAACAAGAAAAAACGTTAACTTCGGTTGCGCCGAAGCTATAATACCTGTCACAACTTGATTCCGAACGTTCAATTTGTATGACAGCTATATGATATAGTGATCTGATCTGACCACTTTCTGTGGAGAATAATTTGTTGCCTTAAGCAATAACTCGTGCCTAATTTCTTCAAGATACCTCGTCAAATGAAAGAGTTTTCCATACAAGCACTTGATTCCGATTGTTCAGTTTGTATGGCAGCTATATGCTACAGTCATCCGATCTATACAATTTCTTCGTTGATTGTATTAATGCCTTAAATAATAATACACGTCAAATTTCATGAAGATACCTCGTCAAATGAAAGAGTTATCCATACAAACACTTGATTGTTTGTATGGCAGCTATATGCTATAGTGGTCTGATATCGGCCGTTCCGACAAATGAGGAGCTTCTTTGTTAGAAAAGGACAGGTGTAAAATTTCAGATCGATAGCATAAAAACTGAGGGACTAGTTTGTATATACACAGACAGACGGATAGACGGACAGACAGACAGACGGACATGGCTAAATCAACTCAGCTCATCATTCTGATCATTTATGTATATATTTTATAGGGTCTCCGACGTTTCTTTCTGGCTGTTACAAACTTCATGGCAAACACGTCTTACAATTGACGAAAGAAATTGAGGCCGGTTAAGTTTGCGTTGTTACCCGTTTTAAGAGTGATTTGATTGGCTGTTTTATGACGAAATGATTTACCCATTCTTTCATAGAAAAAGGTTTCTATAATGGTAAATACAAAAAAGGAAATAGTCAGCGTGATCAGAACCGAAGCTCTCAAGATTTGGTAATAAATTTGGGACATCCTTACATTTATGAATTATTAAAGTTGTTAATTGCCTAAATAGAAGGAAAGAATCAAAACAGACCTTAGGCTTGGGTGTCACACCTTTAGAGAGCTGGTATGTCAAGGCGATGAATCATTTCTGCGCGGATCTCGCTGAAAGAGGTCAGAGTGAGGTAAAGAGCCAATTTGATACCTTAATTTGAAGGCGTGGAATCAGTTGTAAATTATAAACTTTATCATTTTAAACCAATTATAGAGCTTCGTGATAAATTGTTCTTATCATTTGGGATATTACAAACGATTCGTCAATTATGTATTCACGCACGTTTAGCGGTAAAAAATTTATAGATGCTACATTTATTTTCAGCGAACAATCTAATAACAGAAAATGAGAAAAAAACGTCAACTTCGGTTGCACCAAAGCTATAATCCCCTTCGAGTTTAATTGGCCAGTTTGTATGGCAGCTATATGCTTTAGTAGTTCGATCTTAATATGGCAGCTACGTATATGATATAGTGGCCCGATATCGGCGGTACTGACAAATGAGCAGCTTCTTAAATAGCAAAGTGTGTGTGCAAAATTTAAGCGCAATAACACTAAAACTGAGAGACAAGTTCGCGTATATACAGACAGACGGACAGATCTTAGCTTATCACGCTAATGATTTATATTTATATGCATATATTTGATATGGTCTTCGACATTTCCTTCTGGGAAACAAACCTCGTTTCAAACTTAATATACATACCTTATTCAGAGAATGCTTCTAAGTTACAGATTCAATTCAAAGCTTAATTCATACGATTTTATAATAATTTTAAATGCTATAACGGTGCATGGTTTTGATGAAACAACACTTTTTCCTCTTCAAATGGGACTATCGCGATTCTATCCTTTCAACGTTTAGATAGTCGATGGAAATTATTCGCTGCACATTCTAATATAAAGAGTTCATAAAATTGCTTGGCAAGTCAATTTCCTGCGCTTTGGTATCGGTAAGTCGTATGCAGCTCCTTCGGTAGATTGGATTCCGGAGTGAACTTATGCAAAAAAGTGAAATTCATTTCTAACTCTTCCCTTTTAAATATTAAAACTTACCTCACACAATGTTCGACAGTTATGAACTGAAGGTTAGGTCTAACTACAAAACATATAGAATGTCGCCTTCTAGTACTAGGTATTTTGTGATTTTTTAACTCACATATATGCAAAACCTAAGCTTGTTTTAGTATTACAAAATGTTGCAAATTTTAACTGCTCTAATTTTAAATCCAGAATGAATTGAGATATAAATAAATGTAATAAATATTTTTTTTTATTTCACTTCGAACTAAAAAGTGATAATTTTTGGAATTTTAAATTTTCCTTAATTTTATTGAGTTTCCGAGTGATCACTGTTTGACAATGCATATCGCTTCGTTCTCTGTTCACCTAAGGTACCCCCACCCGAAAAATTTTAAATTTACATATCCGCATATATTCACTTATACATACATACATACATATACGCATTCATTCCAACAACTTGTCTGTTCGCCAACAATCAGTTGGCAATCAAAAAAAAAGTTACAATAACCTAGTGCACTATTATGGCGCTGATCATAAAAACGAAATCGCATACGTGAATTCACTCATAAATAAATTAATAGTGAAAATGTCCAATTGATTTGAAAAAATTATCATCATTCGAGTGTCGTACTCAAGCGGAACGAGCGATAGATACCAACATATGATTAACTGAAATAACCGCTTTGTTGTTGTAGCTTTTGAAAGCATTTTTAACAAATACAATAATGTTTACTTATATTGTTTTTGTGTGTATAAATATGCACAATTTCATTTTCATATGTGATGACAGTGATTTTTAATGCTTTTTTATAACTAATTTCCACAATTTAGCTCTTATGAGCGCCGTGCGCATAAACATAAATACAATTTGATTAGGTTCGCGTTCAATTGTCAAAAGTGAATTTGTGTGCGAGCGAGTGTGTGTGTTTCTTGTTATATATTCAAGCGACACTATACTTACATACATACGCGTCGATTCGTTATGTTATGCACGTTTGTGGCTGGAAGTTTTTATGACTGACAGCTGCTGAAAGCGCACACAGTGCACAATCGACTCTTCGGATATGCCCGCCCTCTGTCCCACTTCGCTTGTAGTTTATGATTTTTGGTGCGCCTTTTTTATTGTCATTTAGCTGAATTTATTTATTAATTCAATTACTATGCTATTACTGTGCTTGATTTTGCTGATTTTATCTGTATTGTTGCTATTGTAGTTTTGTAAACGCTTTTATTTCTATTGTCAATTGTTGTGATGTGGCTGCCTAGGCACTTTGCGTTGCCTGACATGAATAGGTAATTTGCTTTCGAAGCTTGTCACCCGCTCCGCTTGCCAACCGGCTCTCCCTTGACTTTGGACATTTATGGACGCCCATAGTACAACAAAAAAAAACAAAAAAAAAAAGTGTCACCATATGTAAGTTGAGCTGATGTTTATTGTTAACTTATTTTGTTTGCTGTCAACATGAAAGGCATTTTTAAATATTAATATTTTAAAAGCTGTATCGACAAATTTGTGTGTATTTAAGTGACAAATAGGTAAATTGGTTTGAATGGAAAATTAAGCTTCGTGCAAACAAAACGATCGGTGTTTCAATACAAGTACAAATTTTCAGAATTATTTGCATTAACTATCTACGTATATGCATTAACTGTTTAATGACTTTAGCACTCGAAAATATTTATTCAATGGTATAGAGTTATAGTGTACACAAAAGTAATTAATGTATTTAATTATGTAAACTCAATATATCTATGACAAAGTTTCTTTATTTTATTACTATTGATATTAATAAATATTATTAGTATTATATTACCGTAGCAGAGACATTTTTGCTCAATTTGATATGTCAGCAAAAATAAAAATTGTATTCAAATAATTTTGCACAAACTCTTCAAATTAACACATACCTGATAAAATATTTGATATGGTACGACATATGATAAATTGAAGACATTTCACTTTGGACTTATGCTCAGCTATCGAATTTGCGCCAGCGACTATTTCCTCTTCCTCAGATTTAAAAAGGAGTTCACTGAAAAAAACCATTTCACTCAAAAATGTAGGAGAAGATGAAAACAAATATATTTCCCACAACAGCTTCTACTTTACCGAAATTTACTCGGTTTTATTTACACACAACCCTAATCCTGGGCTGAGCGATCGGCAATCATCCGTATATGCTAAGAAGAATTAAACAGGTTTTCACCTTTACTTCTACATCTCAAAGCTTCCTCAACCATCAGAGGGCATTTTGATTGTACGATATTGACGTCATTGATGTCAAAAATAAACAGCTATCTCACCCACTTTTTTCGCTTCGTCTCTGCAAAAAGCCTAACACACTCTCCCACTGAATCCACTGCGAACACATTCACAAACTGAACAAACGTGTACAGACTGGATCTTATTATCGCAGTTGATGGCATTGAAATTCCGACTGTTACTGTTTAGGTGTTACACTCGACACTCTGTACTGTTTCACTCCGCACACGAACGCGATTGTTGTCATAGTACAGAGCCGCAGCAAATGCTTAAGTCACAAGCCGGCAGTACCTAGGGAAGGAAAAATAAACATTTTTGGCAACCTAAATTGCAATCGGCCAGCCGGTCATTGAATGCACTGATATGTCCGCCTAGATGTAGTGGAACCCATACGAAGAAGCTGCAATCATGCCAAAACACTGCACTCCGTATAATAACAGGATTGCTTTTG